AGCTAACTAGCAAGCTATATATTTAATTTATGTTTAGCTCCAAGCTAAACATTAGCAAAATATTAGCACATTAGTGAGCTAACATGCTAATATTAGGTAGGTTGTTGTTTGCAAGCTACTTAGCTTGTAAACTTCAAACTAAATATTTAGTTCTAAACAGAATATTAAAGTTAGTAAGCTAAAGATTTTGTTCCAAACTAAATATTAAAATGTTAGCAAGCTAAATCTTTAGTTTGGGGCTAAATATTTAGTTGGTAAACTAAATATTTAACTTGCTAAATAAATATTTAATTTGAAACTGGGAGATTTATATAATGAATGAATAATTTGGTGTGAATATGAAATTGAACCATATTTTTCCTGCTTACAACAGGCTAAATAATCCAAATTATTGCTGTTAATATTTGACTCATACGGTACAAACAGCATTCCATATATTTTAGGACAAAGTTTTGAATGGCTCAAACTGCATCCTCCCTTCATCCTCCCTTCATCCTCCCTTCATCCTCGTCACCTGGCCTCATGTTTACCCTGTGGGCAGGTAGGGGGGGATCTGGGAGCTGTAGTCCGGACAGACTTTCTGGACCAGCCGGTAGTCCGTGCTGTAGAACGACATGTAGACGCAGATGACCTGGAAAGGTTTGGAGCACATCCAGGTGATGTGGCTCTGGGTTTGCTCTTGGTCGCACGTCTTCGACGGGTCGTAGTTGCACAGCATCACCTTCTTGCTGCGTTCGGTTTTCTCGTAGTCCACCCTGCAGTTGAACGTCTTCGACTCCTTGGGGTGGACCACGCTTTGGCGCTCCAGGTCGAACTCCACCTCCTTCATGGGCGGGACCAGGCTGACCGACACGTTGCCAACACCCGTGGAGTTGTGACGGAAGTAGACGCCAAGAGAGCCGTTGCCGTGATCCACAATCTTCCCCATTATCAGCAAATTCAGCTTGACGGTTTTGATGTTGGAGTAAAAGTCGCCCCAGCTGAACAACCTCGACAGTTTGGAGAGTCCTTGAACTTTCATGATGGGCTGGAGCTTAATTTTTACCGACGGGTTGGAGTTGGACTTGAGGATTTCCCAAAGCTTCTGCTTCGATAGAGGAACCGAGGGATTGTTGAGGACTTTGGAGTTCTGGACGGCAGTCCTGGACTGAAGGCCCCAGGTTTTCTGGAGATGCTCCTCTGGGTCTCTGTGGGGTTGAGGTGATGATGAGTTGCTGAAGGTGAAGTTGCTCTGAGTCTCATGTTGACAGAGAACAAGCTAGTTGGGAAATAATGAGAAAATACAAATAATGAGCCTCAGAGGAAGTTTCAAAGATCATTATTAGATTCAAACTAGACTTTTTTTTTTTTTAGCAACTTCTTTCAAACTACAGCGTATACCAGTTCTGTTCTTTGTAGTTTTACTTTGAAATTTTGTTTGAATTTATAGTGGAAATCCAATTTTACAAAGACATCTTTGCTTCCCTACCAATACCTGAATAAACGTTTCCAGGATACAGAGAAACCACACAGTTTTTGTAGCCGTGAGAAAACTTCTGACATTATTCTGGCCAGATATTTGAGCTCATATTTTGTCAGATTTGGTAAAATTAATTTAAACTGGTTAATTATTGGCTAAAGACTTTAATGTTAATCCAGAAGCTTAATATTAATCCACTTTTCAAGTTTTGATACCAAGAAATGCTAAATTTTAAACAACTACTCATGATTTGTGCTCACAAATTCACAAAATCAGTATTTGTATCCAACCAGATCTTTCTGACTGCTCAGAACATACTCAAGTAAGAGAACATATTTTTACTCAAGTAAAAGTAAAAAATAACCATCAAAAAATGACTGAAGAGTGACAAAATGTTTGGTGAAAAATCTACTCAAGTACTAACTCATCAAATTATCAATCATTTAATATGTAAAAATTACATCACCAGACAGACCAAAATATAAAGTTAAGTGGAAATTTTTGTATTTTAAGGACAAAAATGACAATAACTCATATCAATAACAAAAAACAAAATCGGGAAAAAGAAAATGTTTCCAAATCAGTTTCTTTCATTGAAAAACTTCAGAAACTTTAACAAAAACTGCAGCTGGTGTCTGCGTCTGGTGAATTTTTGGTTAAAACATGTTTGTTTTTCACTCAGTGGGTAGAAAATCCAGACATTTTATTCAAGTAAGAGAAGAAATACTTCAGAATAAAATTACTCAAGTAAGTCAAAAGTACAACTACATTGTTTCTGTATATTTTGCAGCCTTACCTTACCAGTCATTTTGGCTACTTTCTAGTGCAAATGTCTTAGTACACTTTAAATAAAACAAAACTAAATTAGAAATAACTTTTCAGAAAAATAGGGGCTCAATAATTCTTAAATATTGGTAAAAAATTACTAGCTCCAATTGGCAGATTATTTCACTTATAACAAAATATTTTTCATGTGTTACAAGTAAAATAATCCAGTAAAACTAGAACTTTTTCACCAAAATTAAGGAATTATTGACTTAAAACAAGCTCTTTATATCTTGCTGAAAAGTTTAGTGAGTTTTGTCTTAATCCAAGTGCTAAAATATTTCCACTAGAAACTAGAGTAAGATACTTGGTATGATTTATATTTTTTGCAGTGTCCTGGACCTAGTTCTTGTTATTTAAATTTTATGAGTTGCTCAAGAAAAAAAATCAGTTAAAAAGTAACATTAAAATGATATTCATCTCAGCTTCTTTCAGTATATCCGCCACTGAAAACGCACTACAAAAATTATTTTAACCAGAAATTAATCCTCACATTTCTTTCCTTCTGTCCTTCTAGTTTATAAAAAAAAAACAAAAAAACTTGTTACTTTAAAGCATTTTATCACCAATCTATTTAAATTTACTGCTCAGGTTCCCTTCACAGCTGTTTAAATGTGTTAAATTAGACGTTTACTCACCAAATAGAAGCTTCCAGTCAGGAGAATCCAGGAGAACGTCTCCATCGTTCCTCATCTACCTGAGCTTCATTCGGGACGAGCCACGCGTAACGTGATCGCCTGAGGAGCAGGAAACCTTCGGTAAGCTGCTGCCTCTCACTCAGAGAACCTCTCAGGTCTGGACACTTCGCTACCTCTTCCTCACCTCCCCCTCTTCATCGCTCACACACTTCTCTTCCTTGAAATCCCCAAAAACACACAGATTTTACCGTTGGCCTCTGTTTCAGCTGAATGCCGAAACATCCACGGTGTTTGTAATGAATTAGTCGATTAAAATCTGAATTTATTTGCATCTTAACTGAGGCGGATTCCGATCAGATGTGGTGAAATTCTGCCATCTTGTGGCCAGAAGAAAGAATGCAATCTGAGCTCAAAGAAAACGTATTAAGTACAAAATTAGTCAATTATTTAATTAAAGATGCACAACTTTATTTGTTGCCATGTGCAGGAATTAATTAAACAATCAATGCAGTCAGGTTTTTGTATTTATTTATTTTATTTGTCATGTACTTCATAGATTGATATAAACTAAAGAAGGGTTTTGTGGTTGTCTGAGCAAATTAAAACACTGCAAAAACACAAAATCCTACTAAGTATCTTTGGTTTAGTTTATTGTGCAAATAGTATATTTTAAATAAGAGAAAACTAACTTAAAGTAACTTAAAGGAGCTGGTTTTAAGTCAATTATTTCTTAATATTCATGTAAACGTTCTAGTTTCGCTGTCAGATTGTTTCTCTAAAAACACGGGAAAATATCTTGTTATAAGTGAAATAATCTGCCAATGTAACTAGCACTTTTTAGTCAATATTAAGGAATTATTGACTTATATCTGGCTGAAAGTTATTTTAAAGTTAGTTTTGTCTTATTTCTAGTGTATTAAGATATTTGCACCAGAAGCTGGACCAAAAATACTTGGTAAGATGTTGTATGTTTGAAGTAAAGTGCACAAATCCTGCAAGATCAAGCCCAGACCATCACTCCTCCGCTGCCTTACGTCACAGTGAGTGTGAGGGATTTGTAAAACGTCTCCGTTTTGTGGCCGCGTCCCAAAGCTGTTTTGGTTCATTTCAGTGCAGGTTTGCAAACCAAAGCAGTGCTGCTGCATTCTTTTCAGAGTGAGGAACCTTTTTCCTGTCAGCCCTTCTGAACAAGTCATACTTGTTTATTTTGATGTGAACTTTAAACGCAGCAGGCCTTTACGGTCTCTGATTTAGCTCCTGCATCTTACCAAGTGGTTTTCAGTGCAAATATCTTAAAACTTGAAATGGCTCAGAGGGCAAAACAGTCCACTTACTGTTTTTTTAAAAAAAAGCCTCAAGACATTTGTTTTTAGCAACATTTTTGGTTTATTTTCTTAGATATAGGTTTCATTCTCATTTATTTATTTATTTTTATCCATTATAATTGCTTGTTTTGTTTTGGGGCTTTTGCCCTTTTAGATTTAAAGATATAGAGGGCATTATAAATAATATCTGTAATAATAATAATAATAACTATTATCTATTATTACAAGTTTACCAGCAGATGCAGCAGCTTGTTTTAAGTCAATAATTCCTTAATATTGATGAAAAGTTACTAGTTTCACTTGCAGATTATGTTTTTAGTGAAATAATCTGCCAGCGTGTGTGTTTTTACACCAGTAAAGTAACGCAATTAAAGTATTAAAGAGGTAAACTGATCCCAGACAGATTTAACAGTCCATCTGTCAGCTCAGTCACTCACAGTTTATCATCTGATAGCAGCGTTGGAGGTGTTTGTTTTGGCATTCCAGTTCAAACAATAAGGAGTCACGGTTCAGCAGTGAGCCAACAGGAACAATGAACGCTAACGTGATTACAACAGTGGTGTTTCTCTGAACCGGAACATTTTTCCTTGTGTTCATGATTGTACTTTATTTAAAAAAATAACAAGAGAAAAGAAAGTAAAGGTGCCGCCCTTATTCTCAGCCACAATACAGAGATTTCCCGGTTCACCCAGAGCTGCTGCTCTTACTGAAAATCATTCAGAGTTCGTGAAGGAAAAGTATCATTTTATCAACGTTCGTGATTTAACATTGTTTCGCATCCAAACTGGCTGCATTGTTTTGAGGATTTACTGCAATACGACTCCATTTATTGGTCATTGCAGCCATTTCACCTGGAAAAGCTTCTCCCAGCTGACTCACCTTCACCTCGTCGTTCAGGTCAAACTGGATGTTTTCCTGCCGAACAGAAAACACTCTGTGGAAAAAAAGCAAAACGGAAAATAAAAACAGGACGAACAAATCAAGATTTAAAAGTTTGAACAAATTGATTGGTTTTGGTTTCTATGCTTCTCAGCTGTTGAACCAACTGCATGAAAACCTGATATATGTATTTTTTTTAAACAAAAAGGCCAAAACTGCCTTATAATTTCTATTTCATCTTTATTTGCCCCAATAAAGCTTGAAGGTGAGTCACTTGGAAGATATGATGGTGTATTGGGGCCACTGAAAATGTAAGTCAAAATACTCAGTTACATCTACTTCAGTAACTATTTTAGAAAAAATGTACCCCAGTAAATGTAACTGGATATGTGCCAAATATATTTTTGGCAAATAAATGCCAAAAATATATTTGGCACATAGCAGGCACAATTTCACCCTGCTGAAATTTTCTAGAAAAAAAAAACGTTGACATTTTCTGAGCTCATAAAGTAGAACATTTCTGACATTAGTCTCAAATTTTCAGATTTTTTTCTCCAAATTTTCCATTTTGAGATTCAGAAACTTTCTAGTTTTTTTTTTCTCCAGAAAAAAACTAGAAATTGTTGGATTAATCTCAGCAATTTTGAAGTTTTTCCTGGAAAATGTCTGAGATTAGTCTCAAATTTTCAACATTTTTCTTGAAGATTTTCTACTTTTAAGACTCGGAAGTTTCTAAGTTTTTTTTCTAGATAATTTCTGAGATTAATGACATACATTTAAAAAACATTTCTATCTCCAATTGCACTAATAACCCATTGATTCTTTCAGGTTCATTAAACGTCATTATAGGCACACCTTACTCGTGTTTGACCTTGTTTTGACCAACCTTCTTTAGTCTGATTTAATTATTACTGGTATAGATTCAATGAGGCTTAACATTTACATTCCTCAGACATTAGACCTTATTAAAACAATGACATCTCCCATTTGCTGTAGATTCTCTGCTGAGAACTGGAGTTCACTGGAAAACTGAACTAATTATCGTGTTTAAGGAACTAGTTGGAGATAATTTGAGATTTGTGACAGAAACAATATTGTTCCTCCCATATCATCATTCCTCCACCAGCAGGCCAGACTGTTGAGTCAGTGGATGGATCCATGATTTGTTATTGTTTTCTGTTGGTAGAAAACCCAAAAACTGAAACCAAGTAAGAATATAACTAATTCAATGTGTTTTTACTCAAGTAAAAGACAAATTAATTTAGTAAAAAGGTCTATTCAAGTACTGAGTAACTGATCCAATTATCAATCATTTAATATTTAAAAAATACATAAACAGATGGACCAAAATATAAAGTTAAGTGGAATTTTTTGTATTTTATGGACAAAAATGACAATAATTCATATAAGTAACAAAATAAAATTTTTCCAAATCAGTTTATTTCAGTAAAAAACTTCAGAAACTTTAACAGAAACAGCAGCTGTGTGTCTGTGTCTGGTGAATTTTTCGTTAAAACATGTCTGTTTTTCACTCAGTGGGTAGAAAATCCAGAAATTTTACTCAAGTAAGAGAAGAAATACTTCATAATAAAATTACTCAAAAGTACAGAGAAGTAAAAATTATCCTAAAAGTAAATTTTTTCTATAAAAGTTACTCAGGTAAATGTAACTGAGTAAATGTAACTAGTTACTACCCAACTCTGTTCTTTTCAACACATCCAGATCTCTATTTTTTCCCATTTGCTTCCATTTAATTGGCTGATATCCTGTGTGTGTTAACAACTTGAACAAGTTTGTAAGATAAAATGTAAATTTTATGTTTAAACATTTTCTGTCTGCGCTACGTGTTGGTTTAATCCTTTCCAACCGGATTTTAACTGTTTGGGAACCTGTCCTCTGACATTCTCTACTCTTAGTGTTAAATCAGGACTGCTGCAAACAAAAACTAATAAATGGAAATATGCAAAGCCAGTTAAAGTTAAATTGCCTCTGCTTGTGATAGTTGGAGTGAGAGAAAACTAATTACTCTCACTTAGGTCCAAATGCAGAATCGTGCACGTGGAGTCGGGATGATTTTGCATATTTTTCACCCTGGAAGCAACACATGATGTCTAAACTGCTTTAAAAACTTAAGTACAAGTCCAAATATCACAACAAAATCTTACCAAGTATTTTTGGTCTAGTTTCTAGTGCAAATGTCTTTGTGCACTTTAAATAAGACAAAACCAACTTGCAAGTATCTTGTTTTAAGTAAATAATTCCTTCCTTTTGGTGAAAATGTCCTTGTTCTATTGGCAGATGAATTTACTTTTAACAAGACAATTTCCCCATGTTACAAGTGAAATAATGTGACAATAGAACTAGAACTTTTGCACCAATGTTAAGGAATTATTTCCTTAAAACAAGCTCCTATATTTTGCTGAAAAGTTACTTGTAAGATAATTTTGTCTTACTTAAGGTTTACTAATACATTTGCACCAGAAATGAGACAAAAAGTACTTGGTAAGATTTTATGTTTTTGCAGAGAATGTACAGAGAACGTAGTAAATGTTCTGATTGGCCTGATTAATCTCATTTCTTCATGAGGTTTTTTCCATCAGTGTGTGAAGTCAAAGCAGAGAGATGAAGATGTGGTCGACGTCCGATGATGCATGCTGGGCTGACATTGTTATTTTAAGAGCTCATTTACAAACTGTTCACACCTTAAATGTTAAGGTTTTGTTCTCCCCATTTACACATAGTTTCGCTTTACAGGAAAACGCCACACACCTCCTTCAAATATGTCAGACGTGAGTTACAGGAACAAACGTGCAGGCAGGTCAGCTGGGATTGTCTCACAGCTGGAGGTTTCCACAGCCAAAGCCTGTTGGTGCACGTCTCTGTTAGTTTGGCAATAATAAACAATAAACTTATATGACATTTTTTTAATTAAAAAAATGTTTTTGGTGATACTTTGGTTGAAAGGGTTTGCATAAGACTGACATGACACTGAATGAGTCAGAAATGTTTACAACTGTTGTCGTGAAGTGTTTAAATTTGGTAAAGATTGACACTTTTAATGGACTTTTAACGCAATTTTTAAGGAAAATTTAAATTAAAGTTTCA